ATTTTTCTTATATTATGTGAAGACATATTTTGTGAAAAAATTGGATTGAAATGATATTACCAAAGGCTTTAGACATAACAACCTTTATTTTATTAAATATAAGAAGATGAATGGAGTTGAAGTAGCTCTATTTTCTCAATTTCTATATGATCAAGAAAAATTTGGCATTTAGCATTGATGCCTTAGTCATTTGAATGCTAAGAACATGAAAAAAAATTAATTTATGATAAGTGGCTTAAATCTCAGATAATCAAGCAATAATGCTATATCTCTTGTTTATAAAGATTTTATCTAAAATAAACAAAAAAGGGCCTCATTTCTAAGTGGACTTGCAACACATTGTCATATTTTAGTTTGACTACTATGTGAAAATAATGCATATATAACTTTAATATATAATTTATTATACAATATAGTAAGAGCTATGCTATTAGATTTTAGTTGGTTATAAAATATGATTAGATTGTTATTTTAAAGTAATTAGTTTAAAAAGGCTATTATTGAGGTTGATTTTATGTTGATAATAGTTTTTATATTAATTTAAAGACACCTTTATTAAACATTGGTGACTCTTGAAATCTTATTTTTTTTTATTTATTTATTTATTTGATGTTTATAATACATATTATATAAAAATTATTAGAAAAAAGATTAGAGAAGGATTTTATATATAAGTGGATAGTTAAGCCAACTATATGGATGAATTGAGATGGATGATAAAAATCTCTATTCCTATTGGCTAAAATTCATGCCTAATAAACTTCAAGGAGATTGCTTGAGGCTTTATTAGGAAGAAGGGTTACTCTTTTGATATAATTTAAACATAAAATATTAGAATTATTAAGTTAAGAATTTTGAATATATTTTGATGAATATTTTATATAATTTGGAGTTTTTATGAAGGAGATATAGGCGCTTAAAGTCAAGATATCAATTTTTTACCTAATATCATTGTTAGGAGCATAGCTTATGTATATAATAGAATTTTGAAGATAAAATTATACAATCAAAAATTTGGTTTAAAATACTATATTTTACATATAAAAAATAAAGAGATTTTAAATTAATTTAGAAAAGTAACAACTACTTAAAGATAGTACTTTCAAATTGAGGTTTTTTAATGAATCAATTTCATGAGAGATTTGGATCTAGCCATATCTTAGACATTTGGATGAATCTTTAGCTAAAATTTTATACAAATATGTAATACTACAAATTTTGTGATATTTGAAATTTGGATTTTTGAGATATGAAGAAAATGGCATTGAGGTGCTTGTAAATTAGGATTTAGAGTACCTACTAGAATTTCTAAGATGCCAAATAATTTGTAGTAAATTTTTGGTTTATTTTTTTTGATAAAGCTTTAGGATAACTGCTATATTATTTATTAATTTGAAAAAAAAAACTAATAGTTAAATCAAGAGATATGAAATTCTAAAGTTTAAAGAAAAAAAATCTTTTGTGGGAAAAAAAATATTTTGAAAGGGTTTTGTTATAATTTGAGTATTTTATGCAAAATAAAGAAGTTTTTGGAAGTCAAGAATTTAAGTATATGTTAAAGATAGAAATATAGAGCAATGATAAAATTATGATATAAATATGAATTTTTAAAATGATTTTATAGATTTTTTTTGGAATTATTAAAAATCTAACTTATTGGTAAATGATTAATTATGATTTGGTATAGCAAAGGATGTTAGGGAATTTTTAGATGCTCTAGAAAGCCTTATGTATAAATCTTATTAAATATAAAAGGTTTTATTAATAAAAATATCTTTTGATATTGTTACATTTTGTTTATTTTTTATAATAAAAATATATCATTTATTAGAGCTTAGCCAATAAGTTAAAGCTAAATTTTCTACATTTAGGTACTTAGTATGTTTCTAGATTATAAATCATGCTATATGATAACATATAAGTAAGTTATTGGAGATAGTACACTTAGATGTTTGTAGATCAATGAAGATACCATCAATTAGAAGAGCAAGATACTTTGTCACATTCATTGATGATTTTTCAAGGACGATGTAGATTTTCATTCTCAAATTCAAGAGTGAGTGCTTTTCAAAGTTTAAGGAATTTAAGGCACTTATAAAACATCAATTTAAGTACGAGCTCAAGGTGTTGTATACAAACAATAGAAGTGAGTATTTATCAAAGCATTTTAATGATTTGTCGAAGATTCAAGGTATTGCAAGATAAATGCATTGTTTATTGAAAGATATCAAATTGTATGAGGTTCAAATTTAATACAAAAGGTAAAAAATGTATATTTGTTAGATATTATGAAGGCACCAAGGTATATATAGGCTTATAAGTTTGAACACCAAGAAGATTATCAAAAGTCATGATGTTGAGTTTTTGGAGCATAAGAGTGCTTCTAAGGACTTATAGATACATCTTCAATTTGAGCAAAAATAATAAAACAAAATGATGACAATGAAGATAGTGGAAGTTTGAATGAAGATGAAAAGGCAAAGAAGATGAAGAAAAATGACTCCATAATTCCTAAGACCAACAATGAAGATGAAGATGATGATGATGATAAAGAGTATCAATCTTTGAGTAAGAAAAGACAAACTTTAAAGAAGAAGAAGAATAGAAGAGAGCATAGAATTCAAGAAGATGAATCTTCTTCAAATGAAAGAAAATATCTTTTGAGAAAAAGAAGAGTATATGGTGAATGGTGGAAGAATCACATCTTTTTTCAAGTAAGTGAAGAACATGCAATATTGTACTTCTTGCTCATCAATTGAAATTGTGTAATGCAATGAAATCCATTAATATAATGAAGTGGGAAAAGGCCATAAAAGAAGAGTATAAATCACTGATAAATAATGGAACATGAGGATTGACTTAACTTCTATTAGATCAAACTTCAATTGGTTGTAAGTTGATATTTAGAACCAAAAGAGATGCAATGAGCAAAGTTATAAGATATAAGATAAGATCAATTAATAAAGGCTATTTTTAAGTTTTTAATATTGATTTCAATGAGATATTTGCTTCCATGGCCAAATTCACCACCATTAAAATCATTACAATAATTGGAGGAGCAATGAACTTTGATATGCATTAAATAAATGTGAAGACAACTTTTTTGAATGAAAAGTTTGAAGAAGACATTTACATTGATGAATTTTAAGGATTTATTGAAGAAGGCAAATAATACCTCATTTATAAGTTCAAGAAATCCTTAAATGGACTAAAAAAATCATCAAGGATATGGTACCAATGTATTAATACATATTTTGAATATCATGGATTATTAAAAAATAAAACTCATCATTCCTTGTACGTAATGAAATTAAATGAGTTCATATTAATTTTTATCTTCTATACTGATGATTTAATCATATTGAGTAATACCATAAAGAAGATAAATTGGTTGAAAGAAAAATTATAGAAGGAATATGAGATGAGTGATTTGAGAAAGCTCTACTATTGTTTAGGAGTAAAATTTATAAGAGATCATGATAACAAGACTATTACAATGAGTCAAAGCAATTACATTAAAGAAGTGTTGAAATGATTTAACATGAAGAAGTGCAAGTCCATTGAAATACCTTTGGAGGCTAATTTGAAGTTGATGAAATCCACGGATGAAAAATTTTCTAAAGTTAAAGATGAAATGAAAGATGTTCTATATAAACCAACAATAGGCTCACTTATATATGCAATGTTTGGCATAAAGATGGACCTTGCATATGTGATGAGTGTTAATAGGTAACACATGTCAAAGGCTAGGCTAATCTATAGAGCAACCATCAAAAAATTATGATGTACTTAAAATATAATTTGAATTTTAAATTATATTTTGAAAGAGATAATATTGCATTATATAGTTATTGTGATGTAGATCGGAGTGAAGATGCAAATGATAGAAGATCAATAATAAAATATATATTTTTTTGTTACAATAGAAGTAATTTTATGGAATTACAAGAGAGAACCAATAATTGTTAGGTCTACAATGGAGATGGAATATATAGCAAGGAGTCATGGTGCAATAGAAGCAATTTGGCTAAGACATGTTTTAGTAGATAGTGGATTATTGATTTGCTAATAGAAATACTAATGAAGGATAGGCATGAAAAGTTAATAAAAGCATTAGGTTTAAAAACCTTTGACTAATAGCAAAGCGGAAGTGTTAAAATAAAAATAAGATACTATGTAGAAGATATTATCTTAGATAAGTTGCTAATGGTTAAAAGATAGTAAAAGAGTGAAGGTAAGTTATTAATGTGGTAGCTAGGGTTTTAAGTGGTAGCTAAGTTAAGAGAAATCTAAGATTTAATTGGATGAAGCAAAGAAGGATGATGATAAATATAGATGAATTTAAAGTACAATAGATGTAAATTCCTCTTATAAGTAAAGGATGTTGGAAGTGAGAGGCATTTCATTCTATACTTCTCTTATATGCAATATTTTTTATTTCTACCTACTTATGTCTTACTTATTGTATTTCTTCAATATTTCTTATCCTTAGTCTTGTTTCAAGAACCTCTAGTCTTCTTACCTTTGATAATAGCCATTCTAATTTTAATATTTTACCATCTTTGTATAAATATATGCTCTTTTCTTGTAACACAAGAATGTATTGATTCTTTGGTTGCTTATGATTCATATCCTTAATAAAAATCTATCCACTTAGTACCTTGAACTTAAAGAACACTAAACAAATAATGTTGCAAAAAAGAAATAAATAGTAAGACCTAATCATCAAGAGATCAACATGTGGTAGTTAGCTAAGCACTGAGAGAGAGAAGCGTGTAGGAGCAAAAACAAGACACCTAGAGAGGGAAGGAAGGAAGCGCGGTCATGGGGTTGGGAGTCCGAATAAGAGGCGACACACCGCGGTCTGCCCGGACAAGAACGGGCAGACTGGATAACGGCGTGACCCTTGGGTGGGGAGGACCCGGGCTGGCCACGGCCCGTGCGCGGTTCCAGGACTAGTATAAATAAGGCTGCTGAAACGTATGTCTGTGCGCCGCGAGGTGGAATTTGAGTAAGTCTGGAGGGTGGCGGGATGATAGTGAGCGATGGAGGAGTCGGGCTCCTTGAATGCGCTGCTATACAGTCTTTTGATGATTCTGTGCTTATTTGCTGCGTATGTCATCAAAAAACATCACTTCATTTATCTCCCGGAGTCAGGTTTGATCGCAATTCGCATTCCTTCCTACCCTTTGTTGTACATGTGGCTCCATCTTCGTCTCTTCGTCAGATGATCAGAGTTTCTGAACCTAGAATCAAAGAAGTTCGTCTGTAGTTTTCTGTTTCTTAAGCGCTGATGAAGTATAAGTTTCTGGACATTTGGGTTTTTATGAGCTGCGTAAATTTCCGTAGCAGTATCTGAATTAGTTTCTACTGGTTGCGAGGGTGTACTTTAAGAATTTTGCGCAAGTAGCTACTTGCTTGTTGTGTGATCGCGTAGTTCTAAATGAGGTGTATCAAGCTTGAATTCTGAGATAGGACGAAATTTCTGATTCAATTGAGGGGTGGCTTGTTATTAGACTCCGCGCTGCTTCTTGGGGTAGCGTTTGGTGGCGTTGCGAAATTATGGTTTGATGTCCAGGGCTTTAGATTTAGTCCCCTGCTGTTCTTCTATGGAATTCTGCCCATTACTATCTTCAATGCCGGCTATTCACTCCAGAAAAAGGCAATCTTAGAACAGGCTTCCTGTTGCTTCGCGTCTTCATGCCAGACTTCAATGAGAGCTGCTTTGATCTCTTGCCGCTTTGTTGATGGATGTTATTAACGCTCCTGTTGGTTGCTTTGCAGGACTTTTTCCGCAATTTTACCACAATTGTACTGTTCGATGTAATTGGTACAATCGTTTCAGTTTTAATATACGGGCTCTGCACTGATGTGCTGGTTTGATTAAAAACCATGAGTCCCGAATCGCCGCTACTATAGTCCCTGATGTTTGGTTCCGTCATCTCTGCTATTGACCCGGTGGCAACTTTATCAGTGTTTCATGGCATGTCCTCAGTTCTCTACCGTGCAATGTCTTCACGTTGAAAGCGTTACTTCTAAAATGTTTCGGCTCTTTTCAATTTCAGGAATTTATTCGTCTGGGTTCCTAGCTAAGAAGGAAAATGTATCAACTACTCAACTACTTTTTGCCAGGTACATGTAAAAACACATAAATAGTTACCTGCATCCCTAGTGAAGCGAAGGCAAAAACCTCCGCCATGAAAGCCAGAGATATGCGTACTTTAATGATTTTGTTTAATAAATAAGAAAATTCCATTAACTTCTTATGTTCTATATATAGAAATTTGTTTTTCTTTGCTTTGCAAATAATACATTAAGACAAGTTATTAAAGGATTCTATAACCAAGTTTCTTTACTCAACATGGAAGTAAATATCATCCATCATCCATCTACAAGGTTTGAATTTGGAGCATAATTATATTGTGGGTACATATTTGTACGATTTGGTAGAAGAACAAGTGCCACAAAGACTAGTTGGTTTGGCTACCCCACAGGGTTTGTGATTACATCAAGTTGATTGCAAAAAAATTCAAAATTATCAAGTATTTTTCTATGAGCCACTATCACCTTGTGGCTGCCATTGCTTAGAGTACTCTTATCTACCTCTTTTTGAACTTTGGCCACTTTAGATACCCAACTTAACCAAGCACAATGAAAATTTTTAAACGTGCATAAACTAAGATTTGAACAAACATTAGCAATAAAAATTTCATGTTTTACCGATGCCTAATAAAAGAGTTCATTTTTGGTGGCTATTGCTAAGATGTCACAAGGAACAATCCAATGCAGATAAACATATAAGAGATTACAAACATTTACATTGGTAGCATATGATACCTCTAGTACCTTTAGATATAAGTAGAAATGACAATTTGTGCAAGCACAAATTTATTCAGCTTCAAAGTTGCTCTCGACACAACATTGCTCCATCACAAACAATGACTGTTGTTGCAGACGGCTTACTTACATCTTAGATTTGGACACCGACTGCAGTTCGTAATCACATGTTACTCGGGTTCTTGCAGGAGGACACATCAGCTCAAGACGTTCTGAAGGGACAAATCACTGACCAAGAGTAAGTTGTGACGAAGAACACCCTCCATTTCCACTACTGATTAACTCCAATACACACATACCATACTGGTACTCAGATGATCAGTCAGGCCGTAGGGAGATATGGGAGCCGGAAGTGCAATGAATTTATATCGCTACAACATAGAAACATAATGCATGAATATCCACTGAAAGCTATTCTTCGACTCACTATCAACATTTTTTTGTATGCGGCAGTTAACGTGTAATACACATGATTTATTAAAAAACGTCTGAACACTAAAATGTGATGTACTGAGCAGTGATGAGAAGACAGTAACCCCTGTTTCAATGTGGGAAAAATTACACACCACCTGGACAAGGCAGCTTTCTACTTGTACACTGTCAATAGCAATTGACATTGTTGGGGTTAGATTTCCTTACTTACAGAACAGGATGTAATAAGTTTCACAATCTCTGACTACCTCCAGAGCATGTTGGTTGCTGGGAAAAGTGTGCACACAGGGTTTTCGTCGGGAAATATAAATACGTGCCAGGAGTTGGAATGCATGCGAAGAGGGGATCTGGTTCATGTGAGGGTAGAACCTGACCGTCTCTCCTACAATACACCGTGCGGATTGAGGACAGATTCAAGTAATGTTGAGTTGCACTCCAAAAGGAATGTTCAGCTGAGGTAAGATGGGCCAGGAATATTTAAGTACCATGATCATGTTGACCCTGAAGAGCGGCATGAATTAGATCTTCTCACCATGCCAGGAGAGTGGGAGCTGCAAGTCGTGTGTACGGCAGTCATCAAGCTCATGATGGCATAACTGCACTTCGAGATTGAGAGTTTCGAATGTAGTCGAGGGATTTAAGGCGACGTGCTGAGATCAGCTAAGGTACTTCTTAGAAGTGGCCGATTGTTTCCCTTACTCTTGAAGGGGGATACAGCCCTCTTGTAAGGGCTTATCCAGCTTTTTTGCAGCCTTTTTCCACTTCAGAGTGCATGCTTTCAAAGTGGCTCGCAAACTATGCTTCGGATGTAGGCAATCTTTTAGGTCTGCAGAATGAGAAAGCCCGTCGAGTCCTCCGCTCACATATTTCTCCCAATCCCCGATTTCAATGTCCTCTGACGCTGACTTCTTGTGAAACACAGATGATTGCGTAGAATTGGATTCTTCTTTCACAGATCTGCTGTACGAAGACTTCACCGTTATGGAAGCAGCATCGTTAAACCGATCTACTTGGCCTTTCAACTCCATATCACTCTCAAGAAATTGTCGAGCGGATTGGGGATTAGAATTGCTTGAGCTTGCGCCACTTTCAGATCCTGAGTGCAGGTGCTCATCCAACATTCCATCTTTCATCTTGAAATCTTCGAAGGATTTCAAGGCATTTCTTAGGTTGTGCCTATTGTCTGCTCGTGGAGACATTGCCAAACCAACCTCGTAGTCAGTTTGCTTAGCAGTAGATTTCCGTACCACATCAGTTTGCTCTTTCAATCCTCCCACGTCAACCTTGAGAACACCCTGTGTAACATTGCACATATGAACCATTAGCCAGCAGTGACTTGTACTTGGCTCTCTTTCAGATCAGCACTAGTGCACCTAAGCAAGTCTGAAAGAGCGAAAACCACGTATATGTATTAGTTTCAGCAAAAATGAAATTATGCATCATAGAAATTGAAGAGGAACAAGTAGACTTGGTAACTTACATCAGTCCTGCCTTCGCCAAGCTCTTCACTCCCTCGTAATGCGTCCATGCTTAAGGTCGACATGGCCGGTGAAAGGGGGGAATGGTGAGTGTCCAGTCTACCCGCCGAGTGTTCTGCGCCATCTAGGCTTAACCGGGGGCATTCTTGGTTAAGCAACACATTTAACCACTTATCGATATTGGACTTGCCAATTTCCCTCATTTTTTCGTCATCTAAGTCTGTGAGCTGAGCTGCAGACTCAGCACTCTTTATCTTGTCCTCATGTGTAGTTATGACCTGACAATGAAGAGAAAACATAGTTAGGTTCACATCCGACAAAAACAGGTAATCATTATGACTCCCAGAGAATGCCACAATTCTCTGTGCACGGGGCAACGAACTCATGAAGGAACAATCAGATCTCTTAACCTATTTCAGTCCCACAACCGACGTAGAAAGGAAACAAAATCTACCGAGCACTGCTCGACAATAAACTCGATATTTAACCGTTTTCGTTCCATTCGACCGAAGAATCAGTTGCTACCTCTTGCAACAATTCGTCAGTGCCTTTGAAGTCATCTTCATGTTGTGGAGGTGATTCCACCTCATTGCTCTGTAGAGAATTATCGAAAGGTTTGCTGACTGAGAGCGTGATGAAAGATGTGGCAGCCTCAGACATGGAATCGCTGTGAAAACTTAACGACCTGGCGTTAAGTTCCTTGTCGTTATCCCCAACGTTTGATTGACGATGAGTTTCTTGCATCATAGTTGGAACATCAAGCACTTGCTCAGCTAGCTTCTCGATTCTGTTAAAACTATCGTCTGCAGGAAGATGAGTTGGCTCATCTACTGTCAATCACGGTGCGCGGTCAGTACTGCTTTAGGTCTAGACTTCGACATTACTACTTTCGTTGTACATATCATAAAGAGGCTACGCAGTTTGGTTAACATGAATTTCCGAATTCGAAACAAACGGGTCTGCTCACGTTGTTCTTAATAAACAAATATGCATCATTATTGACTATATTTCGGCAATTGAGGCACAAGAGATGAATATGCAGAGGTCGTACCATCTTTGGCACCCTCAGCTTGGCGTTGCAGCTCGCAGTTGACCTCAAGCTCTTTCCCAAAATGTCGACGAAGAGCCGTTTGTCTAGGGGGGTGGCTGTGTGCCACACCAATTGAGGCAGCTTTCCTCTTGCTCCGAGACGTCTCTGAAAATTGGCGGAAGTATTAAAGTCACCTTCTCAGTCTCACAAGTTTAAAATCGAGCAGTTCCACACATCACAAATTCCGTAGCTTTTATGGGCACTCTTAATTCATACTTAACGGAAGGTTTATGCAGCACAATCCAAAGTAGTGGGGTGAATGTCACTGCGCACTGTGCAGAGAAACGTCTGGGTGTAGGTTGTGGCATTAGTAGCATGATTCGACATTGCCTGGCAGGTCTCAATCACCTTTTCCGTTGTTCGTGGATGGGTTTTCCGGCTGCTGGGCAGTCGTCATCGAAATAGGATTCTCCATAGAGGGCCGACACGACGTCTGTGCACTCTCAGGGTCTTCATCCCCGTCCTCGTCGTCGCTGGTATGCTGAGACGCATTCGCAAGAGGAAACCCTTTGGCGGGTGTCACTACCTGGCCATCATTCGTCGTGACTAGCGACAGACAACTGCTAACATCCACAATATCTTGACCCCTTAATGGTTTATTCTGAGTGGTCCCTCCAGAATCCGACTTGACCAAAGCAGCCAAGGCCTCCCTTTGAGAGTATCGCTGAAGGAGATCTTTTTCAGCAACATCGCAAGTCATTTTCTGGCAATCAAGGCGTGCCATGAGGGCATTGCATGCAGCTTGATTAAGACGAGCTTGTTCTTTGTAAGAAATACTCCTGTTCACAGTTATATACAGATCTGAGTTACGACGAAGCGTTGTAAATCGGATAGATCACCATACGATCTGTAAAGTACTAATCTAGAAACTGCGCTGCAAATTGAAGTAGCAGACTCACTTCATGGTACTACATTGGTTGGTTAGTGATACTACTGCATTAGCGATGACATGTTTCTAAAATTGTAAGTACATAGGCAAATAGAAATCTTACTGATGCATAGTATCTCGAATCATGCGCTCCAGACACAGACGATACGAAGACTGGGTCTCAGCCCATCGCCTCTGCTTTTCAACTTTCTGTTTGTGTTTCGATAAGTTACCCTCCAGCTCTAGAATGGACACCCTTTCCTTCTCGTTCTGCTCTTTCAACGTTCGAACTGTCTCCTCGAGCTGGGCAATCTCTTGTAGCTTTTCTTTCTTGGCTTCTTCTCTAATAATTTTTAGACGCAGTTCCTGAGACCAATGAGGACTAATCAGTGAAAATCGGATGGTGTTCGCACGAACAGAATAGCCTACAAATGAGATTCGGTGGAGATTGCAAATAGAAGGCTGAGAGGGATTTATATCATTTGCTATAGACGAAACACACATGAAACAGTACACGAATTACATGACTTGATCATGCTGTCCATTCGATACCGCATTCCAGGGGTACAGAATCGTTGAGGGCTATTGAGAGTCCCAACGGTACTAATACCTTTTGCATTGTGTTGGAGACAACTGACTGTCTGTCGTAATCATTTCGACCAACAGCAGCAGACTCACTCGGGTTGTTCTCCTTACCCAGTTCCTTCATTACACGGTGCTGTTTCAACAAAATGCCAAGTCAGTACCTTCCATGAAGGTTCAGAGGGCTAGTGCCGTACAGATCGGATAACCTTGCTTTTGCTCGACTAGAGGGGATTCAGAGAAGCGTCACAAGATTTAGGTGGAGATCCAACAGATTCGTGCACTCCAACCAGGTCGTAGTGTTCCACAGAGCATTTACTTCTTTGCGGAAAATTCACTTGACTATCATTTCGATTCAATTCGTCATTTCTCGTGATAAATTACGTAATCCTCTTCACTGGACAAGAAACCATTTCGTTAGCTACCAAGTGATCAATAGATGCTACACTGCACCTGTTCTTTCATATGAGAAGCGGACCGGTTGACTAGTATTGATTCATGATCCTTGCCCTCCATCCAGCTTCCAGGTCCATGCTTCGGCTGCCCCCTTCTTAACCCGTCGTCTTCCTCAAGGCCTCGTCGCAGTTGACTCGAAGGTTCTGGGAATTCAGAACACATTCCACTTCGATTGTGAATAGAGGGCATGTGTTAATCAGACTTCAATTTTGAAAGCGAGTGAGTGGTCCACACCTCCAAACACGGGTCTAGAACGATCACGGGAACATCTCGAAAAAAACCCATGATCTTACTTGCTCCATTTAAATTCTACACGTGATTAAGTCTGATCGATGGCGCTTGCCATTGACACGAATCTCATTATTCCGTTCTAGGTCGTGTGTGCACGCCTCTTGAGACGAGAAACAGAAATAGTCACGAACGCTATGAGCTGTAGTCCCAAGAGGGGTAGTGTAGACAGTGTTGGTCAACGGGAAGGTCAGAAGCTTTGCGAGAGAGATAATTACCATTCAGTGACGTCTCGATGCTTGACAAGATTGCAGACCTCTGGGAATAAGAGATCCTTGAGGTTTCCTGTGTATGCTTCTTCATCGACACAATTGCGGCTCCAGCCAATCCGCATGTTGCTTTCTTCCCACGAAATTGAGGCGGCCACGGTCGGCAGTCGCCCACATGATGTCGAACAACATTCTCATCCTCTCCACCGGCAAAAAAAAAACCAAAAGACCTCCTCCTGCACGAAATGTGAAGTGCATGCATGGCACAGGCTGATCTTTAAACAATTGTTTAATATCCATCATGAATGCAACAATAAGGGCAATTAGGCAACCAATTTAACTTGTACTCGATTTCCGAGGAGTCGGTGTTAGCCTTGCAAGAGTTGTATTCAAGAGAGAAAGTAAAAGGCAGAATGCATGATGTTAACATTGTGCTAACCATCATGCCCGTTGATATCTCACCTAAATTCGGCGTTTTTGGAAGCAAAAGTGGACAAAAATTGGGTAATGGACACTCCATGCTGGAGATCCCACCATGGTACCAGAAACTCCAGCCGGTTCTTTTTGCGTTGCCGTGCTTGCCACTGCACTATCTGCAAATTGCTTGGCACAGTGCGTCCACCCCCTGCATGCCAATGGCCAGAAAATTGGTCACTGCGGGTTGAGTTGAACACAAACAACCGTAGGGTCTTACGAAACCGTGAGTGGTGCATGCTCTGATCATGCCGCAACGTGTAATCTTGGTTCTGTAACACTAACGCTACGATATTGTAGTAAGCACAGTAAGGAAGTCCCCAACGTTAAACAGAGGCGTACAGGGATGTGCCCTTTTCAACTTACGTGAGTGTGGAAACCAATGATCCACCTCCCAGGACAGTGGAGACGAGGGATCGGCACCCCAATACAAAACATTTCCATATGCATCCACTCTGAACTTAGCCGGATCGAACCCAGCATTCCTGTTATCCACGACCAGTTGCCTGAGTTAGGGTATGAATCGAGGGGCGGGCACTCAACAGTGTCATTTAAAACAAACTGATGAAATGCAAACTCTTCGGCATCCTTTAACATGATAATTGATAGGACTATAGTTGACTTTTAACCCGAGGTGATCGAGCTGCTCCCACAGTTCTTCGGCATACACGTGGGCATCGGGTGCCTCCTTGTCAATCTCCGGTACAATGGGGAAGATGACATCCCAATCCTTCAGTAATTGAAGCTGTCAGAAGTGGGGTGTCTGTCAGGAAAATCTTCACATCTGACTGGTAAAGTGGACTTAAGGTCTCTCATTGAATCTCGGATGCCTTTTCGGACAGAAACTAAACCGTACTTTTCTTCAGTAAGAGCTTATGTTATTGTGATTGACCCATCAACATACAGATTATGAAGAGAACTTCAAACTCACTCCACTTTGTGATCGAGCAAGAGCGTTTTACCACACAGCTAAGGGAATATGTTGCAAACTTTCGGAAATTCCAGCGCTCGTATGCACGTTATAAAATATATTCAGCCGATCAGGTCACGATGGCCAAGATATTTTATGCAGACCAGCCTATTCCGCAGTTCATGTCGATGCGAAACGTACTCAGGGTTATGTCGGAATAATTCCAGTGAATTGACTCATAGTGAGGCATCACATGTGAACCAACTGTCATCGGCACGAGTTCTGATGAGGCCCCACGGGGGGCACCTCGAATGTGGTTCAATGAATTGAATGAACGGGGACTACTACAGGATGGAGAGGAACGTCAGTAGGCGAGTGGAGACACTTACATCTTCAGCCGATGCAGCATACGGCACAAATTGCTGAGGAGGGCCTACAGCAAAAGGAGATAGAACTCCTTGGGGCTGAGTCACAGCATGGTGACACAGTTTCGCGTAACCAGAAGGATACCCAAGTTTCGGGTCTATCGCCTTCTCTTCTTCGGTGAGATTTATCAACATCTTATCTAGAAGCACACAACACGCTCATCTGAGAAAATTGCTCAATGGCTGCTGTAGCGAATTCGAAATACATTAAATGCCCAATAATGACGATTGCAGCAACGAAGACAAAAGGTTGAAAGCGTCCTCTAAGCATTACTTCATCGCTAAATGACCGCCGTAACTGTTAACATAAAAATTCAACGCGACAGCGGACAACGCTACATTTCAGATAGCACCGACGACTTCATCACGGATACTCCCACACTCGCAGATACCATCAACCAGGGTACAGGAGCGCAGACCAAGACACGTGCACCTAAACAATACAATTCTGAGGGAGAAATTCAAGAGGTTCAGGACACAGTTCGCAAGACCACCACGTCCGTCCGCATAAAGAGTAGTGTCAAGAGATAATCTATGAGATTACCTCCCCGCACGACCAATTGATTACGGCAACCGGAGGATCACTAAAGCGCGCAACAACACATAGAAACAATGGCAACTAAGAAACAATGTCAGAGCTCCACATATGTCGCTAGAGAAACGACGGTTGAACAGATTGGACAGCATTAACGCTTCCCTTCGCCCAGACGCCAATCTCCGCACCCGACTACCAATGCTCTCTCGCAAACGGACACAAACCAAAAGCAGAGCCTTCGCGACTACCGAGGCAAATGTAGACTGCGGAGGGCGAGCGAGGGCTCGAAACTGAGAGCAGGGTGATGCTTCCTGCCACGTGTTGGTCACCTGTACCGGTGACGGCCAAGAATGGCAACGTAGACAGAGCGAGAGCGAAAAACGGTCAGAACAACGGCTCTCAGTCGGAGGAAATTCAAATTTCTCGTCAACAGCCCGCGTCCGTTGGGCTTGGAGTGGACGAGAATGGGTCGGAGCCAACGGTCATATTGACCAGGTCGTGCGGTCGCCACGTTCTTTTTCACACTTGTGCTCTGACTTGCCAGCTTATTTGTAGTCCACGCGTTTTGAAATGAGATTAATTCAAGTTTGGAAAATAAGTTTCGTTTAGTATTAAAAATGTTATCAATCTCGCTGCTCACTTATCAACCACCTAAAATTTTGATAAATATTTTCCTACATATTTATCTATCGAATTTAATAGACATTATCTACAACTTGTAATATAACTACCATTTGTATTAACTAATAATTCAACTACCATTTGTATTAACTAATAATTCTTAATATTGCTATTCAAAATTTTGTCACACAATACTATTCACAAAGTGTTTTAATTCCTTAGAGTCCCAAAAAATAAGTCATCAGCCAATAAAAATAAGTCCTAAAAAATAAGTCCTAAAAAATAAGTCCCAAAAAATCATAATATGCCAATAACTCCACCATCATTAGTAGAGGAGAAAAATAAAATAAAATAAATTTTTTGGTGGGTATCATTAAGAAATTTAACTTGGATTTAGATTTTAAAACTAATTGGTCTAAATTTGGTATATATTAGTAATTTAAAAAATTAGACATACTAACTTAGACAAATTAATTTAGATAGATTTAGGCACTTGCTGCAAATACTAGCAAACTCTCTAGAACTCCATTTGATATATTTTTTAAAGAAAAATATCATGTATATCATTGAAAGAGACAAATTAATCCATCTCATATATCATTAAAGAAAATATCATTAAAGAAAAATAACATGTATACAAAATATATATGATAGAACTTGGGCATAAATTTATAGGTCATAAGAAAATTTGTTTTGAAAAAAATATATTAAATAGGTTGGATTTTAAAAATGAGTAAGATTTTGATAAAATGCTTCACACAAGATGGGCTTGAAGGTAATGTCTATATTAGAGACATGCCATCATTAATGTCACATAGCTTGCAAATTAGTATTAGTTAAAAAAAATTCATCAAATGGATTATAGAAGAGAAATGTGAATTATTGTCAAGCAAATTGGAAGTAAATATTGTGTTGTTATTATAGGCGGTTCTTTTTGTTGTTGCTTGATTACAAAAGTGAATGTTTTAAAAAATATTAGTATATATTTAAGAAGATTTTTATATCTTGGCTTAGAGAAATTTTAAGATTTCCCTTTAATTATCATAACTAATAACTAAATGTAAGTAATTTAATAAAAGAGATGATTTGCTTCAAAAAATTATCTTTGAAGAAAATCAGTGTATTATTTCATAGTATATACAATCATAGATGCACTTTTGTGACTTCAAGCTTAAGTTGATGTAATTATGTAAGATTAATAAAGAATATATATTTTCCTATAAAATTATAAGATATTTGTTGGCCACAATGCATAACATGGTATCAAGGATATAAATCTTAGAGAATTAAAAGATCAATATACCATTGTCTCACTCAAAAAGACTAAAGAATTATTTAAAGATGGTATAATATTAAACTAGAATAATAATTACCAAAGACAAGAAGAATATAGACTCTTAAAACTAGATTAAGAACAAAAAAAGTATTGACAAGAGTGAAGAGGGCTTTACTCTTACCTCCATATATAGTATCTAATTAATAATTATATGATAATATTCTGTAGGACCTCCAACATGTATTGATTTTACAAGACAAGTTTTCTATATGTATGCCACAAAGTTACCTTATTCTACAACCTATCAATACGTGCTTAATTTTTTGACCAAGTTTTTAACCTATTAATTAACTACAAACACATGTAAAGTCAAAATTACATCTATGAAGCTTTTAGAGAGCTTCTTTAAAAGATATTATGAAATTAATCTACTTTTACTTACTTCTATTAAATCATATAGATAATTATTAGAGTAAATATGTATATCCATCACATTAATTTCTTTCTAAGAATGAGTTCCACATAAAGTAGTCATCATCTTTTATGGATCTTTCTATTTTTTATTTCACTTTAAATTTCATTGATGAAAAGTCTCAATTCTCTTTGTTGCATGTGTAAGATTTTTTTATGGCTCCCATGTACATTCATTAATATTATATCTATGCTAATCAATAAGATATTTCAATCTATTTTGGCGGTGCTTTGAATCCAAGACTTCTTCTACCTCAAACTCTTGATTATTAAGCACTTCTATAAGAAGAGGTGGCTTTTATCTTCTTTTCAAGATATTGACTATCTTGTATCGCTCAAGAAGAGACATGTAGAATATGAGATGGATCTTTATAGATTTCAATAGATATAATTGACAAACAATAGGATTGACTTATTTACAAATAAAAAATGGTCTGAGCATATAATAGTCCAACTTATTACAAGAGTGGTGTCACATTACGTGTCATCTAGTTTGAGAATGAAGAAGGCATCTGATTGTAGAAGGTGAGATTATGTTTTATAAATATCTAAGAATCTTAATATGTTTCATCCTTATATGAGGAATATAATTTGAACTTTAATTCAAAAGTACTTAAATCTAATACAAAGTGCTCAAAAACACTCTTCTTAGTAAACTCAATCATCCATAAACTCCATTTGTCTAATTACTTTTATAATTAGGTAATTTAAAATTTTCTTTGCAATCTTAATCCTAATCAACAAGCTTTAGAAAGCTTAAGCTTCTAATCTAATTATTCCTTTGGAGAAAAATTTTGCACACAAATGCCACTATAAGTCTTCTATGTGTTCAAAAAGAATTCACTCCAATCCAACTTACAAATCATGAAAAAACGTCCAAAAACCACATTGATATTACTTGGCTGCTAACTTCAAAGTTGATGCAAATATTTTAACGATGATTTCTCCTTTTTCAACTATTAACTTTAACTCAAAACTATTATATAGATTAATCTTTAAGTCTTCTAAGACCATACAAAATTTTATTTTGATCATACAAGTAGATCTATAGATATCATAGAAATCCTATCCAACCTCAAACTGCCAACTTCTGGTATCTTCTTGTATCAAAATCCAAATATCTTTCAATTGCATCATTGGATTATTAAAAAAAATTATATATATTTAGCATACTCAATTAATCAAGTACTATCAAAATTTGAATTATAGATGTAATACCAATTTTACAAACTAGCTGAGACTCCTAGCTCTAATTGTACTGTATAAATTCCAAGTTGCCAATGTAAACCCTATCTTTGAATAACAATTGTAAAGTCTCAATAAATCCTATCAAAAAAATTATTATATATTTGAAATAAGCTCCAAGGTAACCCTCAAATTCTAATCTCCGATCTTTAAATAAAATCCTATTTTACACTAGGTAATCATTTTAATTACCAAAGATCTAATTTTGACCTTGTCTCACAAATGGTCAATCCCTAGGTATCAATCTAGCTTATCATGGAGATTTTTTAGTCCAATCCTATCGTCAAATTAATCTTAGTATCAACCATACTAATTATTTATCTCTTTTAATCTAATTTTACTAATTTATGGTCTTTCTAAGGCAATAAAAGAGATATTTAATTAAAAATTCAATTTTGATTATATTTTCACTATATAATCGTATTACATGATGATTGTGGCTAATCTTGATTATGAGATAAAATAACTATACCTTGTCGCTAATATAGACTCAAGGTTAATTTTTATAATAGACATCCACGTTGAACTTTTATTATTCTTGAATTTCTTTTAAGTATACCTTCATTGTTATATGTAGCTCAGATAAATGATCAGCCAAATCTTTTTTCTTATGATTATCAACTTTTGACTAGTCAAAAGCATCAAATCATGGATAATAATCATAATTAGCAGAAAAAGATATTTTTTATATAGAAAAATGTATCATATTATTATAAGAAAACTTTACCAATGGCAAAAGAATTATTTAATCATCTTGTTAGTAGATGATGATACATCTTAAATACTACTCCAAAACTTAATTAATGTACTTTTTTTTTCATCAATTTAAAGATGAAAAGCCAAAGAGAGTTTTATATTGATTTTTAAAATCTTAAAAAAGATTCTCCAAACTCTCAATACAAATTGAATCTATCAATCTGTTACAATATCCTTCGGCAATCCATGATAGCAATAGATGTTGTCAAGAAAAAGTTTAGCTATTTCTTCATCTATGATAGATTTTGTTTATGGTACAAAATGTGCCAACTTGATAAAATAATTTACTATCTTGAATATAAAATCATACAAATCTGAAAGTGAAAGATCCATAATAAAATCCATAGAAATAAAAGACCATGATTGTTCTAGAATAGGTAATGACTAAAGAAGTTCATAAAATTGATGATAAGGAATTTTTTATCTTCAACAAATGTTACATGATTGTACAAAGTCCTTGACTACCTTCCATATTTAAGGCCATCTAAAATCTAAAGATATTAGCTTCAAAATCTTGCTATATCTAAAATATCTAGGTGTTGAAAAGTCATGACAAGCTTGATAAATACATAATTATGCTTTGCCTTTTGGAATGTATAATTGCCATTTGAAATAAAAAATATTTTTTTTTAATTTGAACTAGAAGTATCATGAGATTTAGAAGAATTATTCTTAATATTGTGAATAAGAAGATTAAAAGACATATTCAATTTAATTTTCTTAAATTTTTTTTAGTAAATAGTCAATATTAATTTCATTGCTCAAAGATGAAAATACTTTAACTTCAAGAAAAATTTTCTTTGTAGAATAAAAGATGTATTTTTTTCTTTAATTATAAAATAAGAACATGAAAAAAAGACATCTAACAAATATTGATTTTTTTTGGATCAATAAGTAACCTTCATA